TGAATGTCACACACACACACCAAACAAGAGCAAACGAGCCCTCTCTTAAAATATAACATGTAAACCTCTCTCTCTCTCTCTCTCTCTAAATCTCTCTCTTCTCTCTCTCTCATCTCTCATCTCTCTCTCTCTCTCTCGTTCTCTCTCTCTCTCTCTCTCTCTCTCTCTCTCTCTCTCTCTCTCTCTCTCTCTCTCTCTCTCTCTCTCTCTCTCTCTCTCTCTCTCTCTCTCTCTCTCTCTCTCTCTCTCTCTCTCTCTCTCTCTCTCTCTCTCTCTCTCTCTCTCTCTCTCTCTCTCTCTCTCCTCTCTCGGAGTTCAGTGACGACGACCCGCCGCCGCATTTTCTGCACCAAGCATCAGGATTCTCGATTCGTGTTTCTGAAGACGCGTTGCTATCGAACCATCAGGATGGCGCACCGTGGTGTCAAGACGGCATACGGCGATCTCTATGATCGTCGCAAAAAGGTTTGTGAACAACCCACCGCCGCCCCCCCTCATCGCACCTCTCGCTCGACCATCGTGCGCAATCGTGCCGCCCTCCCTCACGGGCCAAGCCATTTTTAGATGGACAGCAAGTATGATCCAGAGGTCGAGAAGATGCAAATTCCTTTTCTCGAGCAAAAGTCGGGCGTCAAATACACGGGCGACTTCCAGGGCTGGCTGAAGAACGGTGTCGTCCTCTGCAAGTAGGTTCTCGCTGCCCTCACTGCTCCCATGTCTTGAGACACCCAGCTATACCACTGACTCAACGCGGGTGGTGATGGATCACGCCCACCCTTGTGGTACAGGACGATGAATGCCATTCGCCCGGGAAGCTGCCGGAATGTCCACGAAGGCACCATGGCCTTTAAGCAGGTACCACCCCCGTTGCGCCGCCACACCCTTATTGTTCATTTATTTATTTATTTATTTATTTTTTTTGGTTTTAGTGTGTGTTTGGCTGTTTGCCTGATGAGATGTTTCATTCCTCCATCCGTCTTTGCTGCCCTCACCGTATCAGATGGAAAACATCTCCCAGTTTCTCAGCGCCCTGCCCACCATCGGAGGTATGTGCGCATTAGACTGTCGGTACTGCTTGTTCCACGCACGCGACCTTGCCAGCTCAGCACAGCCCGCATGCCCCCATGTCGCTCATCTCCACGTCGCCCACACCCCCTTGCCGCTCACCCCATCTCGAAACGCCTCATCATTCATCACCGTCACCGACTCCAGTTCGCACCGAGGATGGCTTTCAAACCGGTAGGTTAACCGACCCTCAAATTACACTCACAATGGCAAGCTCATCCCCAGCCGGACACCATGAACTTGATCCAGCTTACCTTTGTGCACTCACTGCATTCCTCTACCTCTTGATGCAGCCGATCTTTTCGAGGGCACCAACATGTCGGCCGTGCAGGTGTGCATCGAGAATGTGCGCCGCGTCTGTGAATCCGTAAGTTGATGGCGACACAGACTTCGTTGCGAGAAGCCTTGGAACTTGTTGTCTCGGCCAAGCTTCACAGTGCCCCACTTTGATGCGCTAGGGCAAGCCCATTGCGCCCGTGCCACAAAAGGTGGCACTGCCCACCGGCAGCAACAAGTTTGGTGCCGCCCCTGCCAGCGATGAACCCCGCCCCGCCAAGGCCGGAGCCGCGTACGTGCGCAAGTTGCCCCCCAGGTCCTCGTGTATGACGGGCTGGCCGAATCGCTCTTTGATCACCTCTTCACTCTCTTGGACAGGCCTTCGCATGCCAAGTACTCGAGCGAAAAGCGCGATGATGCCGCTTACGGCGACCTGGCCGAGCGCATGGCTCGCATGAACTCCAAGTACGACATGAACCTTGAGGGTGAAATCCGCGAGTGGATCAAATCCAAGACCTCGATTTCCCTGGATGGTACGTCCTCACTATGACATGCTGCTTGAAGCATGTGCAGTGCCTTCACCTGCTTTCGCAAACGCCGTCGATGCCCAACGATGCCCAACAATGTTTCCCACGCTCGTCTTTGCTGCTGGGCGGTGCAATCTGCGACCCCGGCCCACAGGTGATTTTCAAGAGGCGCTCAAGGATGGCACGACTTTGTGTGCTCTGGCAAATGCCATCCAGCCTGGTGCCATCGCAAAGGTCAACAAGAGCTCCCTGGCTTTCAAGCAGGTGAGTATTGCGCGTGTGTTCCTGCCTGTTTTGGCCTTCATTTAGAGCTGCTGTAATTGCTCACGCGGCTGCCGGCCGATGCTTTGACGTGGCGCAGATGGAAAACATCAACCAGTTTGTCGACTTTGCCCGCAGCAAGGGGGTGCGTTCAGATGACCTCTTCCAAACGGTGGACCTCTATGAAGGTAGCAACATGGTTCAGGTATGCTCGCTACGACGCAGCCGCCGTCGTGATCGTGATCGGCTTGGCGAAGCCCCGCACATCTTGTCACCGCAGGCAACCTCGCTTATTGTGTCACATGTACACGGGAGCAGGTCCTGCAAACCTTGAGCAACCTCAAGCGCATCACTGCATAAACCTGAGGGCATTGGCCTTTCGGAAAATGCTGATATCATAGCCTGACGTGCCGGCATGTGGACGTGTGTGCCCTGGACGTGTGTCCATCTTTCATCTGCACAGCTCCGCTCGCACCACCCCGGCATAGCCAGTACCAGATCAATTGATGTAACTCTAAATGTCTCATGAATCCTTGCATCGTCAAATATGATGAACGGGCGCCAACGGCCTCCGTGCTGGCAGGGAGTGATCATGGTCAAACTTTGGTACGAGCCCTTCCTACTGGATGTGAAGCAAAACTTGCCGGCGAGAACTACCATGGAGCGAGCAAACACAAAAGGAGTGCCAGCGGGCGCGCGGTGGACAAGCTTGCAGACACAACACAAAGACAGCCTCAAAGCTGCTGCCGACTAAGACTTGAGGAGAACCTGAAGAATGTCAAAAAATTGCTGCCAATCCTCGGTCGTCTTGGGTTTCGAGCCACTACAAAGCACACAGTCCCATGAGAAAGAGATCGAGCAGCAGTGGCCGTTCAAGGCGCGACGCTCGATGCGATCAAGACATGTTTGAACGCACCAATCGCAATCACGCATGCAGGTGCAAGCAGGGCCACAAGAACAGTCGGACCACTGGCAGAGGTGGCCCTGAAGCTCATCTACGGAAGATGTTGCGAGCTGCTCCTCCCGTAGCAAATTTAAGAGAGGGGCAAAGGCGATGTTGGCCCGGGCGGACGATGAGCTCGGGTCACCATTCCGCTGAGTGAGACTGTCCGGGATAGCCCGTGGCTGGGACCCAACAATGGCAGGCGCAACCTGTGCTGCTGCCTGCGTCGCCCTATTGGCACAAGAGGCGGCACTATGTAACAATCGTGAGGGTGCTTGGAATCTCAGAAACAAACGGTGAGCTCAGAACTGGTCCACGCACCAGCGACAATCTGCACAGCGACAGTTGGCACCGCAGGGGCACACTTGCCAACGATGCGGGTCCTCATGGGCAACGGCTTGAGATAACAGGAGAAGGCCATTGTCCTTGGGCGGGAGGAATGACGTTGGCGCGTCTTGATCAGGGCTTGAGGTAGCGGCGCAGAGGCTAGGCGGAGTGTATTGTCCTGCGGATGCACGAGCACTGCGGTCACCTAGCGCTGCCGTCGCAGTCGGGCTCGGGGCGCTCTGGCCACAACAAGAGCCGGTACGGCGGACGACATTGCTGGGCTGAACCAATGATCGGCTTTGGTCCGAGTCTTGTGGGGCACCATGAACAGGGCGTGTACACTGTGGCTCTGGTTTGGGGGTGATGATCGAGGCAGAATTTGATGGGCAGGAAGAGACGCTCTCCGGGGAGGCGCTGGAGGTGGATGAATGCGCTGAGGTGGCGGGAGTTGGGCCGTGGCAACGCTGCATGTGCGTGGCTACGTCGCAGGGTCGGTAGAAGAGTTTGTGGCAGACATCACATGGATACTTGCGATCATTGCTGTGTCTGCGCATGTGCAGCTGTGGCACGGACGGCACCAAGAGCAGGAGGGGAGGGGAGCGATGGTGTCAGGGTGAAGGGCCGAACACGCGATTTTGCGACGATACACAGGGCGTCCCACCATCGACATCCATGCCAAGTGTGGCCGGTGAACGGGGAACGGGGCCAGGTAGCGTGCGGGTGTACCTTGAGGTCGCTGGAGCGAAGAAAGGCCTTTTTGCAGCTTGCAATGGGGCAACGGTGTTCTTCGGGATGCAGCATGGCGTGGGTGCGCTGATGAATGCGAAGGTCTGAGCGGCGGGAGAACTCGGCAGTGCAGTCCTGAAAGGAGCAGGGAAATCGAGGCCGATTGTCCAGATGCAACTTCTCATGTCGGCGCAAATTCCGTTTCTAGTGGGGCACGGGATCAAAGCGTGAGCATGTTGCTCCAGGCGCTTGCGTGCCGGACCATGCGTCAGCTGTGGGTCGGTTCTCTAACCTGGGTGAAAATCTTGCCGCAGCCCGGGTGTGCGCAAGGAAACCCTTGTTCTTCCATGCCGATGGGTGTGGTGGTGGTGGGATGTTCACCCGAGTGCAGCACGCGTCGGCCAAACAGGTGGTGGTGGTGTCTTGAGCAAGGCCTTGCTTGTCCTAGCCCAGCGGCCGTTGGGATGGGCTTGCAAAGTCTGTCCGAGGGTACAGCAACTTGTAGCCCAAGCGCTTTCAACCCCACGATGCCCAGGACAAGCGAGGTATGGCGGGGAAGGCGGCGGCTAGCTTTGGACCCGCATGATTCTCATGCCTTTTTTGCCATCGACCGCCTCGCACCCTCAAAGGGTCGAACAGCAAACAAAGCTCCCTGTTCCCAACAAGACCCACGACAGCAAAACCTCAACACACCCACACACATTCAAGCATCTGCACACCCACCCGCAAAAGGACAGATGCACGCACGCACGCACACACCCCTTCTAGGAGATGGAAAAGGCAGCGCCAACTTGAAAGATGACCATAAACCAACACAAGTTGGGCTCTGCCTTTTATAGTATGCGTGTGTGGCGCACAGAGAGAGAGAGAGTAAGAGTGTGTGAGTGGCCTCTCTCTCTCTCTCGTCTCTCTCTGATCTCTCCTCTCTCTTTCTCGCTTTTCAGATCGAAACGAGAAACGAGAGAGAGAAAAGAGAGAGATGTGAGGTGGACCGATTTAGAATTTGGCTTGCAGTTGTATGCATATCCAGAGATAAGGAACGAACGAACCAACGAACGTGTGGACTCCTCTCATCATCCGAACAAAAGAAAACACGGTGGCGTGGACTGGTCGCACTGTCACACACATATCCCTCAGGCCAAGGGCTAATTAGCATAACTTTCCACACCTGCATGCTTTTGCGACATGCTCCGGCGTTGTATGACGTAACATGGCAAAAGAGGCATTGACATGACAATACAATTTGGTAATAATATTGGATCAGATGTATTTTACTTTTGGCGCGACCCCAGGGCGTTGGCAAGTGCGAGTGACAAGACAGGCAGGATGGCAACCGCAGTGAGCAAGTTGGTGGGCATGGCGGCAGTCGCACGGACTGGTGGCCGCCAGATGTGGCGGATGGGTATGCAACTGCGGGCGACTCAGCGCAGCATGGGTTGTCTGGTGACCACTGCCCGCGAAGACGACACCTTGGTCATCTCACTCAATCAGCCCAAGACGCTCAACGCTCTGACTGGTACGGCCTTTCGTCGTGGCCCGCGCCCGCGTTGACGACAGGGCCCGCGCCAGGACTCACGGGGCGGCGACATGTTTGTGACCGTGCTTGGCGTGTCTTGGCAGAGACGATGGGCGATGCACTGCAAGAGCTCATCCCCCAGATCAACGCCGACAAGTAAGCTGCAACACCGTTTTGTGTGTGATGTTGACATTCGGTCATTGCTGCTTCCGCCGTCATTCGGCCCCACGCCAAAGAAAGGACAAAGACGTTATGCACGCCATGTGCCAAGTCTCCTGTCCCACCCAAATTTGACCGCGTCTTTGTCATGTTTTGATGCCAAAATTGCGGTTCTGCTCACCGGATTTCGGTCGTGTTGCTAGGAGCATTCGAAGCGTGGTCCTCACCGGGGCTGGCTCGGCGTTTAGCGCCGGTGGAGACCTGGACTTTTTGAATGAACGCGTGGCCTCTGATGCCAGCGTTAACACAGCGGCTATGCTCGATTTTTACCACCGTTTCCTCTGCATCCGCCAACTTCGCGTGCCCGTCATTGCCGCCATCAATGGGTAGGCTGCCCCGTGTCGCGAGCTTACACATGGTGTCGGTGTCGGTATTTCTGTGTCTCTGTCTCTGTCTCTGTCTGTGTCTGTGTGTCTGTGTCCGTGTCCGTGTCTGTGCCTGTGTTCCCGTCTCCGTGTCCGTGTCCGTGTCGGTGTCCGTGCCCGTGTGTGTTGGGGAGAGATAGCAAAGAGCGTTTGTTTCCATCCAGCGAGCTCACATCCTGCCACAAGTGACTCGTTTGTCCTCTCGTGGCCCTGGCTCATTCCCCTATGTGCGATTGCCGCTCCCATCTGGTTAAACGCCATCCACCTGGCCCTTGCTTAGACATGCCATTGGTGCGGGCCTGTGCTTGGCCACAGCCTGTGACTTGCGGGTGGTAGCCCGTGATGCCTTGCTGGGCTACACTTTTGTAGGCCTGGGCCTTCACCCTGGCATGGCCGCCACCCACTTTGTGCAGCAGGCCATCGGGCCCCAGCTGGCTGCCCGCATGCTCTTCACCGGCGAGGTCTGTTGATTTTTTTTTTTTTTTGCTGTCCCCCATCCAAATTGGGTTGGCCGTCTCATCGAGGCTGTACTATGAACAACAACAACAAAAACAACAACACAGAAAATCAAGGGCGAGGAGGCTGTTCGACGTGGTCTGGCGCTCTCGGTGCACGATGCTGATGACGTCTTGCCCGAGGCCCTGAAGATTGCTGAGAAAATCAATGATCAATCAGCCATTGCTGTTCAAACCTTGGTCCAAACGCTGCGGTACGTGATCTTGCGCCCGAGCCCCAGCCCGAGTCAAAGGCTCAGCCACAAGAGGACACATCTCATGGGCAAGTGCTTTCGCACGTGTTGTTGGAACCGGTCGCCAGGCGCCAGAACGAGGTCGGCCTCGAGCGTGCCTTGCAGCGCGAGGCGGATGCCCAGGCCCACTGCTATGCCCATGCAGACATGAAAGAGGGCTTGGCAGCAATTGTGGAAAAGCGCAAGCCCAACTTTGATTGAAATGTGAGTGAGTGAGTGAGAAGAAGCAGAAGAAGAAGAAAAGGCAGAGCAGCAACAACTCACACACACGACAGTGAAGTGACTGCCAAAAAAAAAAAAAATCGATTTGTTGCTATTATTTTTAGCACAATCATCCGTATTTAGACGAACCAACTATCTTTGGCCCTCGTCATTTATCCCCCATGCCTCTACAACATATCCGCCAACATAGCAAGCTTACGTCTACACACACCTTCAACAACTCTATAATACCCTGCATCTTCTTCCCATCCCAACGCGGAAGGTGTGTGCGACAAAAGAGAGAAACACACACACACACGCATTCACACACAAAGCTACAAGGGCGTAACAAGAGGCAGCGAGGTGCTCATTTTCTGCTTGGTGGTAAGTGGCAATGGCAGTCGATATGTGCAGTGGCGTTGCTGATGCCAAGCGTGTCAATGGCAATGGATCGGAGTTTGGGATGCTTCGGGACTGCTGGCTCGCTGGCCCTCTCACCTTGCGCATTCGGCTTGATTCTTGTAGGTGTATATGTGTGTGTGCACGGCTGGCAGAGTGCGAGCACTGGCCAACCTTTTTTCCAGATCCGATTGATTGAGCAGCAACAACAACAACAACGGCACTCACAACAACGATAACAATAGCACCCAGCCATGGCGCCAGCATTGGCCGCCGCCGCCAATCCCCAGTCTCGGGATCTGCAGAATCACCTGCTCCTGCAGACATTGGCACCCGCCCACCCCGGGGGTAGGTCCGGCAGCGATGGGCTACAGCTCGGCTCCTCCCTGCGCAATCCTCTCTTGCAAAGCTCTACACCTCTCTTGCAAAGCTCTACACTTTCCACTCAGCCCCAGAGCCTGTCGGGATCCACTGCCGGGCCTCTTGTTGGCCACGCTGCTGTACCTCGGAGCACGGCGCTGCAGCTCGATGCGCGTTTGGACAACCCGCACCTGTGCACACCACTCCCCGAGGCCACGCCAGCGCCCCACACGGCTCCGCAGCCGCGACCGACCCTGCACAATCCTCACCTGACCCATGTTGATCTAAAGTCCGACCTGACGCTGGCACCGACAACACGCGCAACCCACACATCGAACACCGCCACCCATGCTCTGACCAGTGGCTCCGACCTACTCGCTGGACCCACGACGCGGCACGCCCAGCCCCTTGGCCTGCAGGTCAGCAATCCACTTCTAGGTAGCGCATTGGATCAGAACGGGGGTCTACTTCTTTCTGAGGCAGCTTCAGCAAAATCAAAGCCCACAGCTACCCCCGAATCTACCGATACCGCCCCAGCTCTTCGCGAGGCGGCCGCACTGGCCGAACTGCAAGCGGAGACGCGCGCAATCCAAGCCAGCGCCCTCGAAGCACAACGCGCCGCTCACGAACAGGCCACGCTGGGCTCGGGGGTGGATGCCAAACATGCCACAGAAGCCGAGATTACTGCCGACCTCAAGGCCCGGCTTATCAATGCCCTCAGTGCCGCCTTGATTGGCTCACCAGACTGGACCGACCGTGCCAATCCAACCCGCCGTCAGCTCATCAAGCTGATTCGCGAACTGGCCGTGTACGACGCTGAATTCATCCTCAAAGCCGCCCTGTACACTCGCCAAGAACTCAATATTCGCACGGGTACGAAGCAGTCTCTCAAGACAACCACACACACACCACCCTCCTGCCCTACACCTGAAGACCAGGCATCCTTGCGTTTTCCCTTGCTTTTTTTTTCAAAAAGCCTCGTTTCCATCAATCGTCCAGACGCCATCCATGCTCGGCCTATGCTTCTTTGTGTGGTTTGGATCAACACCTGTGCCTCATCTCGCTGTCCCTCCCGTATCGTAGCGGCCAATTTTGTGCTGGCGGTCGCAGCCACGCTACCAGATTGCCGTTGTTACCTGCGCAAGTATTTATCAGATGCCGTCCGGCTTCCCAGTGATTGGATCGCTGTGGCTGAACTTTTTCAAACCCTGTACACGCGCGACTCGTCCGTCCGCTATGGCAGCCTACCGGCTGCCTTGCGCAAGGTATGACCCTGCCGTTTGCCCGTTGGGTTCAGGCAACCTCGCTGCCCGTCCCGACAGCAAGCCGACGATCCGTCTTCGAGAGATAACTCACGGGTATCTTACGGATGTCCTTGTCTTGCTCTCTTGCCCAGGCCATGATCGACAAATTTGCTGACTTTGACGAGTATCAGCTGGCCAAGTACAACAAGAGCAAGAAGAAGAAGCCTGCCAGCAAAGACGTGCGCCACACCCAGCGCGAGGAACCATCGGCCCCTGCGCAACGCACCATGTCCCATCTGAGCGAAGATCCCGAGGTACACACTTGTACCTTCCATGCCTGTCTTTGTTTGATGGCAGTTGCGTCGGGGCAATGCCGGAAGAACGTGGGGGGGTGGTCCATCCTCGCAACCTTACTGATACATGGAACTTGTATGCCCTGACATGGTACAGGACTTGGAAAAACTGACTTTCAGCCTCAAGCAACTCATTCGCAAGCTGCACGTGGTTCAACCTGCCCGCCTGGTCATGGGCGTTCTAGGCAAGCCCTATCCTAACACCTCGGACGAATTCCGCCTGGCCGGACTGGAGGGGGTTTGGGATCCGGAGCGCGCCGGCCAGCGCATGCGTTTGGCCGTTCCCATTACCTGGGAGACACAGGTCCGCTTGCCGATGCATCCAGTTGATTCTGTCCGATCTGAGAGATCAATATCAACTGCACTGCTTTGCACTCACACTCGCACCGTCCTCATGACCTCACCTCTATCATCTCCGTTGGTTGGGTTTGTTGGGGCACGATTGTAGGTGTCTGCTCACGGCAACAAGGCCGAAACTTGGGAACGCCTGATGGACAAGCGCAAGCTTCCGTTCATGGCCATGCTGCGCAACCTACGCAACCTTGTCCAAGCCCAGGTCAGAGTTTGCCCGTTGCCCCGTTGCCCTTGAGCGCATGATGTCTGCTTGAAACCAAAAAGAAGAAGAGATAAGAAAAAAAGAGAGGGAATGCGAGGCTTGGTCGACTTGCTCGTGTGAGCTCACGTTTCACACCCACCGCTCTTCACCTGCAGGTTAATAAAAAATACCATAACATTGTGTGCAGCAAGCTCAGCGACCCCGATACCATTGCACACTCGCGACAATTCCCTTTTGCTTTTTTCAACGCTTTTGAAGTGCTGGATCGGGTGCGTCGAGGACCTTGCTTCCGGCTCGCCACGTGTCAGAACCAGATGTTGTTGCAAAGCCCGTAGTAGCATGTAGTAGCACCTTGCCTCACACGCCGGCGCTGGATTGTTTCGTCAATAGATGTCTGGGGATGACTCCTCTAGCGTCAGCGCTGAGGATGCGCGTACAATCAGGCGCTACCGCTTGTCACTCGAGGCGGCTGTAGGCCACGCCACCAAGCACAACGTCAGTGCGATTCCCGGGACCTCAATCGTGATGGTCAACGTTTCAACGGCGATGGATGTGCCCTGCACGTCAGCTCGTGGCCTGGGCAAGCCTCGCACTGCTCTTGAAGTCAGCCTCATGCTAGCCCTA